GTCCTCCGATTTTTGTTTTATTGTAGCATCAGTCATGCTAGACATTGAGTCCCGTCTGGGTCACAAATAGGATTGTGCGTTTAAGGTCGCCACCGGTCCCCCATAGCTTCTCTTTCAATGTGGCTCCCTTGGGCCAGATCTACAGTCTTTGCCGGGAGAGGTTAGGGGAGTACTGTAGTATGTGTCCAGGGGTCTGTCTTTCTGCTCCACAATCACAAGCAGCAGATTCTTTCATGCCTATCCTGTACAGGTGTGCTCGAAGACCACAGTGTCCAGTCCGAAGACTAAAAATTGTTTTTTGTTCTTTCCTGTTGAGTTTGTTTATGCTGTCACTCTCTGGTCTGTAATCTCCATTCTGCCTTCTCCACTCCTTCTTAAAAGACTGCTTTAGCGCTGTTTTGGTTTCCTTGTAACTGTGTGGTGGATGAGTTTGTGGAAAATTACTCCCAGCTTTTGCCAACTCATCTGCTCTCTCATTTCCTTGAATACCACAGTGGGCTGGTAACCACTGCAAGACCAGTTCTGCTTCCTTGGAGAGTAAGCCAATGTTGGTCCTTAGATGGTGCCCCCTTGAAACCTCGTCGTGGCCCCTGGAGGGAGGTGGGGGGGAGGGCAGGTTGAGGACCACTGCTAACAATGATAGTGCAGTTAAATTGACTTCACAAGATCTGCGAAACCTTTTGTACTTACAGGTAATGCTCTGCAGATGACTATCACAGCAGTTGTTTGAACAGTTTTTATCCGCCTGTGTTTTATTTGTTATATGCCCCATAGCAGGAAAAGCAGACTTTTCTAATTAGCACTGAAGTTAGACTTCACTTGTTTATATTTTTGTCCATTATCATCTCTCCACTGATGTGTTGGAAATGCTAAGAGATCATGCAAAATGTAGAAAATACACTTGTGTGTGTGTGTCTGTATATACACACACACACACATACCGTTTAGAAAGCAAGGTCAGACTTCCTTCCTTCTTCCTCTGCCTTTCTATCCCCCAATGGAGCATAGGCCCTCAATCAACTCACGCCAGGTCGTTCTATCCTTCGCCATTGCATGGAGCTCTCCCCATGTCCTCCCCATCTTTCTAACTTCATTTTCCAGCTCTCTTCTCCATGTTTTTTAGGCCTTCCTTTATTCCTATGCCTCTGTGGGTTTCAAATCAAAGACATTCTAGTTATGCTGTTCTCCTGTTTTCTCAGTGTGTCCAATCCAGCACCAGCGTCTTTTCCTCACCTCTTGTTCCACTGGAGCCTGTTTAGTTCTCTCCCAAAGCTCTACATTAGTTATTCTATCATACCATTTAAATCCCTCTATTCTGCGCAGACACCAGTTAATGAATGTCTGTAATTTATTAGTAATTGCCTTAGTTGTTCTCCATGTTTCTGCCTCAGACTACTAAACGTTAAATTTGCCTTAAAAAAAACCACAACAGCCAGAAAATGCTGGGGTTGGTTTTGCAAAGTCCTGTAAAGGAAACAACTAACTTTAAGAAAAATAAATGATCATGATAATAATATACTCATAAAAATTAGACATGTCACACAAAGTAAACAGATGTATAATTTTATTATGGCTCCCAGATTGATCTATCCTTAAATGGGTAACTGGAATTGTTGTGGGAAGTAAAGTAGGTGGCATGACGTTGATAAAATCACCCACTAGGTATCGATTAGCCTAGGATAATTGTCTTACTGCCCCAGTGGTGTGAGGGTTTTTTTCCCCCCAACTTTTGCACACACAAAAAGCACACTAATCTATTTGGTACTGAAAAGCTGTGTGGGGCTTGCTCTTCTGTGTGGCTTGCTCTTCTGTATGAGTTAGACAGTGAGTTATGAAATGGTAGAAAAACAAGACAGTGTAACTCTGGTTTTTTGAGAACTGTTTGAGAATTTTAGCAGAGAAAAAACAAAACAATATGTAAGTATTGACAACTGCAGACATTTTTAGATAAAAATATAAGGAAAAGACAAATAAAATGATGGAGCATAACAACAAAAGAGATGGAATAGAGCAATTAGTCTAATGTAAAATACTGATCAAGAGAGGCAGGGAAAAATAAAGAAAGATATGTTTGGAAAGCTTAGAAACTTTGTTTGCAAATAATAAAAGCAACGTGAATGTAAAAATTGTACACAAGGGAACTGAGGCAGACCAAGAAGATGATGGAGAGATTAAATCCAGTCAGACCTACAAACACTTAATATCACTAACTGGAAAGAGAAGGTCGACCATAGTGGCTCCTGTTCAACCACCATGTGTTGATAAATTGCTTCATAAAATCATGTTTTCTTAGTAAAGTGGTTAAGCTGTCAGCCTCTCATTCTGAAGGTTGTTGGTTTGACTCCAGATTTATAGACTCTTAGCTCCTAACAAGCGCGTCTTAAAGGATGACTGAGTTTACTGAAATCTGATTTGTTTGGCTGAAAGGTGCAGATGTCATAGTCTAGCTGTAAACCACAATACAACATGTCCGCCACCCTTTTAAGGATGAATACAGATGAAAAAAGGTTTTGTTTTTAGATACTTTTGAAACTCTGCTACTCACAAAATTAGTTTATTTTTGATGTATATACCATTGACCTAACAGTTAAGTTAAATAGGGTGTGACAGCCAACTTTACTTCTATTACTTTTCTTGCTAATAATTTTTTATTTGTTTAGGGTCGGTTGAAAAAAAGATTTAAACGTAAGACCACTAAGCTGACAGACAAGCGTATACAACTGCTTACCAGTGTTTGTGTATGTTTCCTGCTGTTACCATTGACCTAATGGCTAAGTTAATTGGATTGCCTTGAAAAATATTGTAGGTTTAATTACTTGAAGAGGCTGCTAACACATGTGACTGAAAGATCTATCACATAGGTAAGTAAAGCAATCCACACGTCAACAAGATTAGAGTCTGGAAAGTGAAGGTTATCCTTGGAAATTTATCTTTGTTTATTTCTTGAGTACATGTTGTGTGGCATTAGGCCATGAAAGTGTAGACGTTTCAGTGATAAAAACCAAATGGAGGAACGATGAGATATTATTGCAGCACTTTATCTCTCAGAAACAATGCTCTAGGCACGTGTATTAGATTTTCTAAGTAGCAGAAGACGTATTAGCTACAAATTATAATTTTTAAACTGGATTCTTTTTCTTTATCACCTCCTCTTTTACTGTTTTAGGTGTCAGGGGAGATGTACGGTTCTGCTTGTTGCTTTTCTGGCCGTCTCGATCTTAGTCACCTGATGCCTCGAGTTTTGTGTCCTTATTCTATTTTTGTGTGTATGCCTTACATAGTATGACGTCACAAGGCATTCTCTTTAAGTGTGCAAACCATTTAATTTCCTATCTTTGTATGTAATATACAGTTCGTTCTGTACTGACTTGTTCTCTTATGACCTTATTTCTGATTGTGTCTCTTATGGTCACTCCTGCAGCCCTTTTCAGACATCTTATATCCATGGTTACTAATATTATTTTCTGGTTTGTTGTGAGTGACCATGTCTGGCACTGGTAGCACAGGGTTGGAATGAATATTGCTTTGTATTAGATATTTGTTTGTGCTGATATGGATTATCTTGTGTTGTAAGAGGGGTCTAATTGTCCAAATACTTGGTTTGCTTTACTGCCTAATTGGATTTATTACATGAAATAGTATCAGGGCGTCTCCGTGGCGAAGTGATCAAGCCGCTGTCTGTGAAGGTCGTGGGTTCGTTTCTCAGCTGCGCCCTTCAGTTTATGAGTGCAGTTTTTACCATGATCTCTGGGGATCCTTGCTGGAGCTACGGAGTTCATGCTCTGTGTTGTGCTCTCGGCAGGCGGCAAGCCATTCTGCGGAGAGAAACTGAACCGTATGGGATCAAACCCGGTGCAATGAAGTCGATCCTCTCAACTTTAACCTTCAACCTAATACCATCTACATTTGGTGTGGCTCTATGACTTAGAGGCTAGTAAATTTCTTTCACAGTCCAATCTTCGACATACCAGGGTTTAAATTCTCTGGCCGGTTGTTTAGAAAAGCTCTTTATTATGGCTTGTAAATTGTGGAATTAATGAAAGTCACACCGTGGATTGAGACCTAATCTCATTAGTATTCCAAGACACCAGCGGGTGTACTGCAGCTGACCTTCATCCTGGAAAGGGCAAAGTTTTTAAAATAATCAGCATTTGGTTTTTTGCCTTAGCCATCAACTGGTTTGTGGGGGAAAAAAGATGTCTTCTATTCTGCCTGTCTGCGGGTGTAAAAAAGCCTGTAGATCACTGATCTGGATAACATATGTTTAATCTTCATAATAAGGAATCTCTGACACTAACACGACTGCACAGCCTTTGAGGCTGAGATAAGAGACGTTATAATCAACTCCTCATGGGAACAATCAGTAGAGGTGCCTTGTGGTGGCTGCTATATTAGATGCTTGGTAATGCCCAGTGTACAGTGATGTTGGATGGTGCAGCAACCAGTAAGGAAGCAAATGTTGTGCTGATAAAGCAACATAGACGGACTAAACAGCTCAGTATGGAAAAACCTTTCTCAAAATGTCTACCATCTGTTGCCCACACTGCCTCAAAACTTTCTAAACTCATGCCAGATTTATTAGTCACCTTCATACTCATAATCACTGAATCTCATTTTGTGTGTGCCATTTTTGTCTTCATATCACTTTTTCCATGTTATCTGTTTCGTTGGTTTTCCCCTAATGGCATATATATTTTTTTTTTAACTTTAACTCATTTATCCAGAAGGTATCAAAGGAGATTCTAAAGTGAAGATATAACCATAATGAAAACTTGTGAATGCATTACTTTAAGATGGCAATATACACAGTGGTAATAATCATTTGGGAAAGCCAAATTTCTTTAGTGTGTTCTGACCAAAAATTAAAAACATAAAAAAGCACATTATGCTGAGGAAGGGGAGTAGTTTCCTGAACAAATCAGGCATTGATTGGGACTAAAAGAACTTGGAGAAAGTGGCTTGAATTTCTGATTTTTTTTTTACAGAGAACCGACACAGAGATGGGCCATGTGGCAAGAGGTGTTTTGTGGTGACCACTGTCGCTCTCTTTCTATTCCTGACATTTGTGGCTCTGCCAGCAGGTAAGTTTTCATGGTGTTTACTTGTTCTCTGTTGTGTTGCACTGTATCTTTTGCCTCATTGTCAGCCAGTCCAATACAGAACATCGCTTTCTTCACAGCCTAGAAGTCTCTTTCCCCAGCCCTCATTGCTTTCATAGCTAATGCATCTTTATTGTTTTGTATCCACATTCGCAGAGGTCCGCCTCTGCCTTTTTGTCCCAGAAACTACTTTCCATCACTATTCTCTCCAGGCCACCATGATGTTTATCAAGGCCAAAATACCCTAGCTTTCTGGACAGGATTCTGTTTGTTAGCCAGTTCTCCTCGATGTTTAGATCATTTAGGATGTCAGTGTTTTTCCTCTTCTTGGTTCACAGTATTCTACTAATTTTTCTGTAGCATTTACCCTCTTTTGCTGAAATATTTTGGTTATATCAAGCGCCACGACGGATTGGAATAAATAATAACAGAAGGCATGGTACCAGGAAGGAGGGGCAGGGGCAGACCAACAGGAAGATGGGCACAGGATATAAGTGACTGCTTGATTATGAAAGGACATGAGGCGAGAGTACTGGCAAAGACTGATTTTCTTTCACAGAAGAGGAAGTAACAGTCAGAAATGTTGTTATATATGGATGTTTACAAAGATCACAATAGAAATACGTCACAGAGAAACAGGATTACAGACAGTCACAAAATAATTCTGCATAAATAACAGCAGGCGTGTTTAGAGCCTGCCCACAAAAATGAGGGATTTACTGGAAATGTTGCAGGCACTAGTGGTACAATAGAATAAGAATAGACCCCCTTCCCACAGCTGCAGAGGATAATCAATAATAACATTCTTTAGTGTGCTGTAAATGTCTAGGGAAGAGCTTTCCAAACTTTTGAATTTAGTCACACAATTTTTAGACAGCCAGTTTTGGGACAGATTAATTGGGACAGTATTATAGCAAATCAGAATTTAAACTAGCTCTATATTATAATGAGAGATACAAGCACGTACATAAATTGTAAAAATGAAATGCCTCATGACACAGCTTATCTCAAGATAACCTTTCATTGATTTAAACATTATATACCATTTCCAAGATTAATATTATTGTTTCAATTTATAAGTATTTTAAAGTAACTGTTGTAATTTATATGTAACAATCTCCCCGTTTGGGTTCCGGGACCCTGTTATAGGGAAAACAAGAATAGACCCACTGCCTACCAGAAAGCATGTCATAAGAGTTGACTAATTGGAAGCTTCCTTCAATGTCAGAGTGTATCTGACTGAGAGGCAATGCACCAACAGTCTGTATACAAATTAGTCAGATCTGTCAAACTTATGCACACGCAACCCTCAAGTTCTGGAACAGGGCTGCAGTCCAGTAGTGGATGAACAACCAGAATTTTCCACCAGAGTTTACAGCTGGTGAACGCGAAGAAAAAGAAGTAACAATACTAAAACAAATTGAATAACACCGTTAACACACAACATCCTTTACAATGCAGTCAAGACATTGATGTGCGGCCACACAGTTTAGAAAGCTCTGGTCTAGGGAGTGTTAATAAGCTTGAAGCCTGGGACAGTAAGCTCTCTCCGATGTATTAAATATTTAGATTTTGGGCTACTTTCAGAATGGGGGTAAGCTGCGGTGAATATAGGTATTCTCTGCTGTCTTTTGGAATATTAGGTTACGCCAATCTCTTGGAAGCCAAGAGAGACTGAGGCCGTGGCTTCAACCTGGTGAGTTCCCCACCCTCATTGGGAAGGGGGATAAGAATGTTTTTTAAAAAGGGGGAGGGGAGGGGGGTTGTGGCATGTCAAGCAGTTTATAAGTTGAGTTCATTTGTACTTGTAATAATCAGTTATATATTTTGTTTCCAGTTATTTATTTAAAAAAAAAAAAACGCCAGGCTATATAGATGTTTTTCTCCAAGTTCTTGCTTTTGATATTTTGGGGAGTAATTTGTCATGTTCTTCTCAGTCACATTTTCTCTAAAGTGGGGATGGAAAAGTGAGGGGGACAGTTATTGTAGTGTGCAAAATGGTATGCTTTGCATAAGATGTATATCTGATGCTTCTGTGAATGCTGTACTGTGTTGCACGGAGGTGGACATTCAGGAAGGAAATATGGATGTATGCGAAATTATTGTAGATAGGTTGAGAACTTGGCACCCTAGAAGCACGTTAAACATACCTCACCACAGTACAGTGTTACAATATCACCTGGATGTGAACAGGGGCCAGTTAATGGAACCGTTGCACTGATACTTTATTAATATGGCTCTGGTGATGGGTTCGTTTCACGGGGCGTCCTTCAGTTCACGAAGTCGGTTTTTACGGAGATTCCTGGTGAGCTACAGAGTTCATCAGCTATCTGCGACGCTATCGGCAGCCGATTATACGGAGACACACCCAGCCATATGGGATACAAGCCGGTGAAAAGTTGATCCTCTGGACTTCAGATTCTCTTACCAACGAACTAACGAACGATTCACGACCTTTCAAAGTCAGACGTTGAGTCGTAAAGCTAAATTGAAATCACAGTCAGCAGCAGCCCACCATTCAAGCACCCAGTGATGGTCAAGAAAAGAGATAAATAACAACTGAAGCGGTAGAATCAATCACACACAGTGTAGCTGTCGTATAATATTGGATGCCGGGTTGCGAAATGAGATGCCTCTGCGTGCCATGTTTCGTAATACATTCGCTTTGTTGTACCAGACTCAAACCTGATGTTAGATACGTCACATCCTGGCTAGAATAGACACTTGTTTGGGGGAACATGGGGCCGTTGAAATGGCATGGGGAATATATTAAGTGTTGATTGGCATTCTTGATAAGTAGAGCAAAGACAGAGATTAGTTTTAAGGTTTGAACAATGAATCAACATCATGGCACATGGGTAGTAACCCAGAAGTGCTCCGTTCTTTCTGCCAACTCAAGTCTGAGTCCGAAAAACATAGAGCACAGGCTGTAGCACGAGCGAGGATCCTAAAATACTTTTTAAACTCAAAATTTTGCCCTGGCAGCGCTGTTAGGCTACTCTGTTCTATATCCAACTGTCAAGGGATTGTTTACGTGCTCAACAATGCACACGGACGTCTGATCCCACTACCCATAGACCAGGGGAAATTGCTAAAAGTCAAAGTCCAGGTTAAAAAATCCAAGCCCTTACCGGGGATTGAACCCGGAACCTCTAGCACTCGAGACGGACACCATGCCTCGAGACCACGCAGCCCCTCTAATCTATATATATAAAAATCAATGTTTGTGTGTTTGTTTGGTCTCTATAGACTCGGAAACTACTGAACCGATTTAGCTGAAATTTTCAGGATATGTTTGTTGTGATACCGGATTTTGAACCGTCGTGGTTTGAAATTCAACCTGTCACTGTTAGAGATAGGTGACCACAATTTATGCCAAAATATACGCAACTAATATTTATAACTTTAGTGATTTCTAATTATAGCCACGTTAGTAATTGCGCCGTAGTCAGAACGCAAGGCTTCCGCCATTCGCCGGCGAGTTACGTGCAGCCAACGCCTTAATACATAGAGTAGGTCGAGGTACCGCAAACAAGACTATCTCTATATTTGCCACAATAACCATATTAAACACGATTTCTATTTTCTGTTTTTTTTTTTCAAACAACCTTCGATTGGGGGGGGGGGGGGGGCAATCAAGGACAATCTCGACGTCGGCGCAGACATTGACTGCGTCATTAACTTCATTAGACAGGTGCGATTTCATTGTCTTTCTTTTCTAAAAACCTTTGATGAGGGAGAGGGTACTAGGTGGATTCAGTTGTGGGGGCCGGGATCAAAGACTATCTCAAATTACGCCACAGCAACGTGTGGCCGGGTACAGCTAGTGTTATATAATTTCACCGAGAAGCGACAGAGCAGTGTGCAGTCAAGCGTGTGGCATTAGCCAGCAGATCTACGCGGTTCATCTCAGTGGCTCAAAATAAACTTTCTTATAAGTTCAGAAGCAACCAGCATCTTAAGATATTCCGCTCCGTCTTATCTTTAGAAGCAAGCAGACCGTTCTCGTGGTACCAGTAACCGTCTGATTGTATGTCAAACTTATATAACCTTAAAGGGGTCACATTCGAGAGGATCGACTTCATTGCATCGGGTTTTGTCCCATACGGCTCGGTCTCTCTCCGCAGAACGGCTTATCGTGATATCCATGACGAAGTGGTCAAGCTGTTTGCCCTGCGCTCTAAAGGTCGTGGGTTGAATTCCACGGACACGTCGTTTCGTTAACAAGTACAGTGTTTACTGAAATCCACAGGGATCATTGTTGGTGCGACGGCGGTGGTGATTTAAGCGAGACTTTCGGGATTTAGGAGGTTGTTAGCTGTTCTGCAGAGAGAGAGAGAGAGAGAGAGAGAGAGAGAGAGAGAGAGAGAGACTGAGTCATATGAAAATAACTTTGTGCAGTGAAGCCAGTCCTCTCTAAATCAGATAACTGTCGTTTAAATCTAACAAGGCGGGCTTTGTTCTGTTTTTCTGTTTCCTAAACGCAACTAAGATTGTTGTATTTAAACATTTTCCCACACATTTGAACACTATCTCTGTGTGATATAGTGTTTTCTAATTGAGGAAAAAGTAATCATGTCTGTGTAAGCTGTCAACGAATATATCTGTAATTTACTCTGTATAAAGCCGGACTTGTTTCAAGAAATATTTTCCAGTACACTTTTCCTTGGGAAGCATCGTAGCGGTTTTTTTCCCTTCCTTAGCATGTACCTTGACTTCCAGGTCGACCTAGTCTAAAGTGGTACATGATAATGTTCTGGGAAGTAAAGGCGGCCAGCGTGGCAGCCAGTCTTCTCTTGTAGGCAGGCATTACACATTTTAGTCTCAGTGTTTCATTCGTACAAAAATACATATCGCATTACACAGGTCACATGAGTGCACTTTTTGGGATTTCCCCTTAATGCATCTTCGCGGCTGTTGCCACTTTACAGTTTGCTAAAGGCGCACTTGTGAATTCTTACTATAGTAAAGTAAAGGACCCT